CAATCTGAAAATAACAAAAAAAAGGGGGGTTTCATTTAAAAAACCAGAGTTGGTAACTACCACACGTTTATGATGCACCCTGTATATTGGAAAGTAATTTTAGAATGTGGACCTTTTAAACGTGAAAAACTTTTGTTGGACGAATTTTCTTGTAAACTTCATATTTACTGAGATATCGCACTTTGACGCACTAATGAGCAACCCTGTATACTATAGCTACTATGTGTGCATAAGCGTCCAGAAAACGTATTCTTCGGTCTCTTCTGAAAGCGAATTTGGTACTGTTTAAATTTCTAAAAAAAAGACTTTTTATTTCTAAAAGTGATCGATGTTTTGACTCTTTATTCAATTAAACGTAACAATCATAGGATCGTAATATCGGCCAGTAGAAAAAACCAAAAGAATTTTAGACCAGTACCAAAACTGATCGAAGAAATACATATCAGAAATTATTTTAATTAGTGTAACTTATCCGCAATTTAGTCAGTGAACTTATTTCAAGAATCACTATGTTTAGTTAGTGTAAGTTTACTCACTTAATAACTATTAAAAAAAAACACTAAAGCAATTAAGTTAGTGACCCATTTCCAAACGCACTGTATATTATCTTCCTCATATTAGCCCAAACCACATACCTTTACCACCTTTCAAGGTGTGGATATTGAATTTAAGTGAATTCCGGCATCACTTTTGCAAATTCCATCCACTTAGGACGCTTTTAGGTCACAGTTAGAGCCGTTAGATGATAGTATATTCTCGAGGGATGCTGCTACTATATATTGGGAATTGCCGTGCAGATGAATGGGCTGGAATAATTATTGTTTTAATTTCCTGTGGACTCATAGGGGTTGAGTGAAAATTAAACCCTTTGGGTCTCGTTGGCTAAGAATGGACAATCGGTCGAATTTGTTGCGATTATTTGCTATATTCAGGTTGTAACAGGATTTTTATTTAAAAAATATTGAAAACATTCAATTATTGTGGAAACCAAAACTTTCTATAGGTTATTAGATGCACCTCTTCAAAACTAGCGTTGTATTACTGGAACTGCAAACGCTAAGGAAACATACAGTGCGACCAATTCCTTCTTAAAAAATGATTTATAGAGCTGGATCATATGCATGTGCAGGTTTTCCACATGATGAAATATAGTCGGAAATAGCGATTTAAATATATTGTTCGGCTGTGTTGTGTCCTAATAAAAAGCTTCGAGGGTAGCCCTCTAATATATTTATTATGTAAAACGCAGGAAGAGCGGGAGAGTTTTTCTTCTTTGCATGCGCCTTCCGCTTTGTGGAGTTCTTTTCGTTGTATCTTCGGCATAAGTCAGCATGAGGAACTCTATAATCTGTACAGAAAAAGTGTCTAAAATGATTCGTGAAAGTAGACAGGTCTATTAAATTCGTATTAGAGTTTAATTTGAGGGACAGTTTTCTGTGAAAAATTCCTTTAGATTTCGCTTTTACCGCCCTAAGAATATCAATTAAATTCATGTTCTTTACTTTTAATGTGGATAAGTTTTTTCATCAGCAAAACTACCTTTAAAATTGTTTTAAATAGGTTATATCATGTTTTTGGCTTATCTATTGTTACGCATGAATGCCGTTGTCTGGCATATAAAAACATTTGGCTAATAAATGCAAGTTTTTCTTATAACAGTATACAAAATTTAAAAGGACATTTTATGCATGCGCTAAAAAGCTCATTAAATAAATAAGCAATTTCCAAATAAAACTACATACTTTAAATCGTTTTCAAAATCGTCCACCAATTAGCTGCTTAAAGTTGATTGAGAAAACAGATTGAAACTGTTATTAATTATCATATAATTGATCATTAAGTAACAACTTCTAAGAAAAGCCCTTCAAATATAAAACTATCTCTAGAATTTAGCAATTGACGCTCATATATTTTCTAATGTAGAAAAATCCACCATTTTAACAAAGTTCTAGTTAAATTAGTTTAATGAGCGTCTGCATCTCTTAGAATAACAATAATATCAGTTCAAATCTTACATCCGGGAACTAATTGACAAACAGCTCCGGCAGCATTATCCATAATGCCAGAGAACACAAAATGATTAAAACTCAAGTTCTTATTAATTTTTTTCCTTGAACAATCTTGTTTTTCCACCGAACAACGCTGGTCATCTGACTATTGATGAATGTAACAACGTTTATAGTCGATAACATATATCACGAAATATAATGCTGAATGGACCTTAACCATTTCACGTAATTTATTGTTGAGAGCTTGTCACTTTCAAACACAAATACTATACAATTATATCGAAAAATAATGGATGGTCAGGAATGCTTACATATTACCGATCATTTTCACCAAAGCATGCTGTTTATAATTTTATGCATTCGAAAAATGACCGAAATTTAAACACACTTTAATGAAAATTATTAAATTGTATACCCAAACTGTTTTAGAGAAAGTATTTCTCTGATATAAATAAACGCTTTTCTAATCGATTATTACTATGTTTTATTCAAGATAACCGGTTTGCTTACAAGTACGTCCGTTATGTGCTATGCAAACATTTTCTATCCCCTACAGAATATTAGATTTATTATTATTAATACACAAACAAATATGTTTGTGTGTGCTGTAATTTATTGATAATGTTCGTTTTTGTTTCGGGAAAATTTAAGTATATGAGAAATATTCATATTTGTCGTTAAATTACATTGGGAATCGTTAATTCAGTTACATAACTAAATTTAGTAGGATTGTTATTTAAATAATATGAAGCTTTGAGAGACACATATCTATAATATATTGAGCACTTCAGAGTTTACATTTATTTTTTGTGTTAAAATTTCAATTTTTCTTCGTTTTGTTGTAGGTTATTCATTGCTTACTCAAACAGTTACATCTAGAATTGCTCCCTAATATTCTAGATCGTTTAAATCCCATCAATCAGATAATGCCAAGCAAAAATTATGACTACACGGTTTTTCGCACACGGTGTCATTCCGCAGGACCCCAAATAATATTGCTACTATCTGACGCAAATGGACCTCACAAAAAGCTCAGAAAAATTGTTAACAGTAAATTTCCTGAAAACGAGTCTTTTCGCTGAATTTATTTGGCCATTTGCTAAGCCAACTGGCAAACTATGCATGCCCAAACGCAGAGAAAAGTGACAAAAAGTAAAATCGCTGAATTATGAGATAAACAGTGGCTGCGGACTATAAAACGTATACGCAGGGTGTGATGATTAATCACCGCTTTGCCTTAATTTGCTTTTTTCTTCTTATAACTCATCTGATTTGTTCGGAATAGTCTACCTACTTAATTTGTGTACTTATGACCTATACATCCTAAAGCCAAATATTTGTACAAATAATTGGTGCTTCAAAAATTTTACATTCTTGTTTAACATAAACATTCATTTTATTTCTGTTTGTATTGTAGTTGTAAATGTTAAAATTGGGAAAATTGTTTGCCTCAAAACTTCCATTATTTTTTTGTAAATCTATTATTTTTCACATTCACACATTTTCACATTTCACATCTTTTATTTTTGCTGCAGCATAACACGTTTTATGCCAGAGTAATAGAATATTTTTTAAACTGAAGTAGTGACATTTTCTACAAAAAAGGTAAACACTCAAGACAAAAGGCATTAAGCTAAAAGTTTAACTATCTGTGCATTATGCAGAATTTCAATTTTTTTGAATAGTTGTGGTTTCACGTTAATTCATTTTTGTAAGTAAGAGTTTTGATGATGAGTTAATAAAGTGTAAAATGGCGGAATAGAATAAAGAAATTTGAAGGTTCTGTATGTTAAATTATCGTTTCGTTTTATATTACTTATTTATCAGGTAAACTGTTTGCTTGCTCTGGATTCGCTTTCAGTTTTCAAGAGAAAGTTACGACGTTCATATTCTAAATTCGAAAAAGGAACTGAAATAGAGATAGCAGCAACATTTCAACTGAACATAAGACATTTTCACAATAAAATACAATTTATTCCAAAAATAACCAGAGAAATAAAATATTTACATAATTAAAAGTGGCAAAATTGAGAAGGTGTGGGGACAAACCATCCAAATGTGCATTTTTGTCAGTCACATTTTGCTTCTAAAACTCACTATCGACACGAGCATAATGAAAAGCATTCATTTTTTTAATGCACGGGAACTGGCTAGATTTTCACAATGTTTCTTCAAGAAATTCGAGGATTTTGTTACAAAAATTAACTGTTTATAGTCGGACTCGTATGGCCAGAAAAGAAAATTCAAATGTGTCTCTCTATCCTTTTCAAAATGTGTTTTCAAGTAAACGATAGTCAATTAAAATATGTCTCGAAATTGCAGCCGAACAGAGCAATTATATTTTGTTAAAACTTGCTCAATAAACATTTTTTATCGTCCTTTGGTAAATGCTGAAGGTAAAATAATACGCTCTAAGAAATGGGATTTATCGTTCTCTCAGTGCTGTGCTATCAGAACGTAGCTAAATATTTTTACAAACAAATAATGTTCCATTCAATCTTTTAAGCAAACAAATCAATTATCCTCTTTTAGTCTCTTTAACAAGCTTATCTGAAAAAGTTATTTTCCTTTCAACTTCTTCATCAACTGAGTTAAATTACTGAAAGCGTCGACAAATCTCTACAATTTGTAACGATTGTCCAACCATTAATGTTTAACAAAGATTAGTTTTTCTGAATAATTATAATCACACAATTTTAAATTGAAATAGGCTCACTTTTTGGGCATTAAACTTATCTGCTCTTTTGCTGATATTTTAATTTAAATATAGTTTTTAAGAGTATAATAGTACGGTGCATTCCAAATAGATTAGGGCCATGAAAAACAGTGATTAAGAAATTTTATTGAAAGCTTTACTTTGATTGTGATCTATTAGCCTAACTATTTTCCAATGATTGCTCAAAAACAGAAGTAAAGTTAAAAAATAATTCACAAATCTAAGGGTTTGATATGATAAGCTAGATGTAAATCACAAAACAGTAGGAACAATTACTTCAAGGAAAAATGGTTTTTAAGTACACATTTTTTTGGAAAAAAACTAATTTTCGTTTGCATTTTAAAACCGCTGTAAATCGTCGTAGCCTAGTAATATTGAATTTGTTTCTACATTGACTTTTTAAGGATTTAACAGCATTTGCGAAAGGATTTAACAGCATTCACAATTATTTATTTGACAAAAAAACTGAAGATCAGATAGATATATCAAGCTAATGACGGATGTGAGTTTCTTAATTAACAACGTTTGTCCCATTCGATGTACATTCCCGAGCAAAAAAATGCAAGAGATTGAGTCACATTTTCTACAGCTCAACTTTATTCTCCTACTGAAAGTGCAAACATCATCACGTGGAAAATAATTACTGGCTGAAGTAGCTTCTTGGTTAAGCGCATGACTCTTCCGAGTTAAAAGTAAAACAGTCTGGTGCTTTTTAACGAATATTTTTGCTCGTTTTATGTCCGCATTTCCTCCAAATTAATTGAAGTGTGAAAATGCGTGTTCCATTTGTATAAAATAATGAGGATGTTTAATTAAGTTAACTGATATTTACGGCATATACTTCTAATAAATCAATAAGTTATTTGACTCAAAAATGCAACATTTTAAGAAAAAATATAACACTTCTTAAAAATATACAAAGGATATAAAAACGATTTAAACCCTTTTTAGCAAGGAATTTAACTTATTTTATTACTGGGCTAAAGTAAGCCAAATATGTTTAAGTTACTCTGCATTAAAACGGTCGCTTTCACATATTGCTTTTACATAGTAAACAGGAAAATAACAAATAAGGTCTATG